AGTGAAAAAAATAATTTGGTAAAAAAAAAAAAAAAAAAAAAGGCTGAATGACTGATCAAAACATAAGTCAATTGATATTCAGAAACGACATCATCAGACAAACCAAAATATAAAATTACAAGGAGATTTTCCTATTTTAAGGACCTAAATGAAAAGAATTCATATAAAGAGCATAATTACAAAATCAGACAAAAGAAATATTTTTCCAAATCAAAGCTGCTTTATTCATTCTGAAACCGTCTGACTTGAATAGCTTTGAAGTAGTCGTCTTCAGTTGTTGTTTTACTGAATTCGTCTCTGCGAACACGACGGGCAGCAAAGCGATCCCACGGAGTCCTGCTGTCTTATCCAGTTAATGGGTTAAAGAAAATCTGCATGTTTCATTTAACAACTTCAGCCTTAAATACAATATTAGAAACACGTTAAAAGACAGAAATAAACAACTCAATACCTTTTTTTTAAATTGAGGAAATAAACATTTTATTGCCTGAAATGCAACATCAGAGCATTTCTTTAGCATATGGCTAATCATTTGTAGTGAAGGACGCATTCTCAGCTGAAAAATAACTCACAGCATCAAAATGTGGAAAAAATCAGAGCTTTCTGCATGACTAGATGATGATCCGTTTATTGTTTTGATTACATTTTAACAGAATTTACATTCTGACAGTTTTTTTTAATCTTAAATGCAAAACAGATATATTTTTTGTAAAGTTTTAATTACTGCTCTGAGTCTGTTGTTCTTTCAGCAAATTGCCTTTTTTTTTTTAGTCTTTTGAGTCAGTTAACAATTAATCCATTGCTAACAGTTATTTCAACAATCGATTCATCACATTTAATCATTTCAGCCCTGATCCTGTCCAATTTCCTTTTATCTGAGGATGACGGTTTAGGTCAGATGGTTGAAACTTGAACACGATGAGAATTTCCAGCAGGACGATTATCAAAATAAATAAATAGACACCAGAACTGCTTTGAATGGACAATCTGAGCTAACTGAGCTTCTGAAAAGACTCAATCCTCACAGGATTTACTGTCTGTGTTTAAAAAACAAAAACGTGTTTGCTTTTCTTGCAGGTGTTTGGATCAGAATGAACAGAGCGCACCGTCTCTCCCCCCGCCCTCCGCTGTCCCCGACTGTCCCATCTGCGGCAAGAAGTTCAAGAGCCAGAAGAGCCGCTCGGCCCACCTGAAGCGCTGCTCCGCAGACATGGGCGTCTCCCCGGCCGTTCTGCTGCAGGCTCTGCAGAGACAGGCCGAGGAGAGCCGCAGTTCTGCCAACGCACAGTGAGCGCCCCGTCGTGAAGGACGCATCCTTAACGCTGCAGGCCCCTTAGTGCGTAAAGCTGACGAAACTGTCCCCGTTTCCTCTTCCCAGCCTAGAGACGGGCGGCATCAAGAGGAAAGCGCCGCCTCAGCCAGCGCTTCCAACGAGGAAGAAGCCCAGGAAGAAGTCCGACCGGCTGGACGAGGACACCATGGTGGCTCTGGCTCTGTCCTCTTCCCTGCTGGAGCAGCAGAAGGAGCAGCAGGTTCAGAGCGGTCCGCCTCACAGCTCCGTGACTCCACTGCTGACGTGGAAGCCAGATGCTGGTGCGGTACCACCACTAAGATTTTCTGGGACCTTTCCGGACGAATAGGCTGTAAAGTTCTGTACATACCTTTACCTTTAGGCTGTAAAGGTATGTAATCATACCTTACATTTGGAAAATGTAAAGCATCTTTAATTTTTTTTAAAGAAATTTGCAAAAATGTAAAATAAAATAAAAAAAGAATCCATTTAGGAACAAAACAAGGAAAAACAGGGACGCAGTGAAAAGTTTCCAGATGTACTTCACTTTAACGCTACTTCTTATATTTAAGCACCTTTCCAACATCTGGTGATAGATCAGTCTGGGGAATCTCATAAACTCCAACTCAGCCATCATTTCTTCTTCTCTGTTTTTGTGCAGCTAAAGGACGTGTGAGAAAGAAAAAAGTAGCCGTCCCTCGTCCTCCGCCACTCCTCCTAGTTCAGGACGCAGAGACGGCCCTGGCGAGGCTGCAGGAACGAGTCTCTGCTCTCTTGCTTCGCCGCCGGGCGCCCTCTCCTCCCACCCCGACGAGATGCCCCAGCAAGCTGCCCGGCTGGACAGGTGCTGCCCCCCTCTGGCGGAAAAGTACACTGCTGGATGGAGGCTCCACCTGTCCGTCTCAGTTCTATGCTGCGGAGCTCCAGCACCTGTTTACTACGGCAGACTTATCAAAGGTACTAGAGGAAAAAGGATTCATTTTCATGCTTTTTTTGCTGTTTTTTTGTTGTTGTCATGTTTTGAATTGACTTAAAAGTTAAAGGCCCACCTTTAAAAAAAATTATATTACTTTGCGTTTCGTTTTACAGACCACCTTAAATCGGAGATTCAATTTGTTCTCAATAAACTCGAAATCCAGCGTATACAAGATTTCTACAGGCTTCACCAACTCAAATTTAGGACATTTTAAGACCATAATGAATGACCTATATTTCCACAAAAATGTACGAACTTCATCATCCAGTCAACTGGCGGTAAATTTAATAGACGCAGGAAAGCTAACTAGCTAACTAGCTAGCTAACATGTTAGCGGCGAGTTGGCGGTAGCCTCAAACGTCTGAGTGACAGAAGGCGGTGAAGATTTTTTTATTTTACTTATTCTGAACTAGAAAAGCCATAAATAATATATAATATACAAAACAAGTCAGGGAGGTACATTTGACAATATAACAGTTTTCAGAACAGACCGTAAAGTGTGTAGATTTTGTAAATAAAAAGGAAAAACGGTATCAAAAACAAACAGGCTAAACATGTTTAAAACTGCAAGGACTTGGCAGTATTATGGTATGTCGTGGTAGTTTTCTTTTTTGCATTAGAGGGATGTTATGTGATTTGAAATATTGAGTTCAGAAAGACGGTAAACAATGAAGTGCTGTTTTTCCAATAACATAAATAAATAAATGCACTGAATGTAGGAGATTAACCGTGCTGCCACGACAAAATGGAAGACCTGTGATTAAAATATTAAAGGGCAACATAATTTTTAAAAAGAAATGTAAGACATTTTATGGCCCTAATTTTAGATGTATGAATTTAAGACTTTTAATGATGCACCGACACAATCTGTTTCTTACACAAGCACATGTCTTTAATTAATGTCCTCCTGTTCCGCTTCCAGCCAGATGCGGTCTTATCAAGCAGCAGCAACAAGCCAGAGTCTTCTGTCCCACCCGCCCTGCCCTCCTGCTCCCAGACCTCCTCTCCCTCTACTCCAGGGTGGGGAGAGCTACACGTGGGAAGCCAGGCCATCCGAGACCTGATGGAGCTGGCTGAAGACGGCATGACTCTGACCCAATACGGATACGCTGACAAAGGTAAAACCCTGTCATGCAACTTACATTAGGAGAAAAATGGTAGGTTCCACTGAGCTGTATGACGGTCGGGAGAGATGAGAAGGATGCTGTGAGTAAAATCTGACTAAATCTCGATTGGGTCCGTTTCTGCAGCCAAGCACCTGAGCGGTTTCATCCAGGAGGAAGAGGATCAGGCCGAGCCGTCGGACGACACCGCCGGCAGCAGCAGCCGGACAGTGAGGAGGTCAGACCAGCCAGAGGCAGAGCGAGACGCAGCCAGACATGAGTCGGTGAGCACAAAGTTTTCAGCGACTTAAACTTGACCTACATGTTTGTCAAAAAAAATGTCAATGAATTTTTTTTTGTTGCTTCTTGTGTAAATTACAAACCAGGAAGAATTAAAAAAAGAAAAAAGAAAAAAGAAAAGAAAACAACAGCTGTCCTGTCTGTGGTAATCTTAATCTGTTATTACGGTGTTTTCCCTGTAGGTGGCGCTCTCCAGGCTGTCCTCAGACCTGAGCAGCATGGTCAACAACCCTCAGCTCAGTGACCTGCAGCTCCAGGTGGACAGTGGAGAGGTCTACTTCGCACATTCCTTCATGGTGTACGCTCGCTGCCCCCTGCTGGCTGAAATGGTAAAATGATGAACGTTTTTAGACGCTTTATGTTATTATCTTTTTTAAATGAATAACGTCGTTTACACCCCATATCTAAGGTGGCATAAACGAGCAGGAAGCATCTGAAATATTTAATATTTAACTCTTCGTTGTGATTATTACTCCTTACTTGAGAAGGATGATTGTCATTTTAATTTTGGTCTTTTAATAACTTATTTTGACTACTGCTCTTTTTCTTAGTGTGAACCAATCTCTCAATTATAAACCGTATGTTAGATTATTATGGATTTTCCTTAATCCAGCCAGATGATGTGTACACTCAGTTTAATCAATAATAATTCATTTTTCAGGATTTCTATGCACTCTTTGAAAATCCATAATTTGATTTGAATATTTTCTTTATACCCAATGTGTATGGGGAAAATAAAAATGTTTAGAATTTCCCAGGTTCAATTATTTATTCTATTTTTAAATTATAAAACATATTTTTTTATTTCTTTTATTGGATGTTTTGACTCATGGAAAATTTGGAAAAATGCAACAAAAAAGAGAAGTGTTTGTTTTGTCTTTTCTTTCTTTCCCTCCCTTTTCTGAGATCGTAATATAAAGCTATTAAAATTAATTGTACTATAAAAACTAATATTTGTAAATTTTAGTTGGGGAATCCATAGATATAGTCCCATTTATGATGACCACAAATAGACCTATATCGCATATAAATCTGCATCCTTTAACTGTTTTTCTCTCTTCGAGGTGATAATTTGGACCAAAACCCGTGAAATATTGCAAACCTGTGACTGTCTTCTGCTCTGATAGATTAAGACGGAGTTTAACTTTCTGCGATCCGTCCCTCCTCTTCCAGGTGCATGAAAGTGGGTTCGGTGTGCAGGAGGAGGGCACGGCCGCAGCTCAGAGGGTGTTGCTAAGCGACGTACCGGGTCAGGCGGTGCTGGCTGTGCTGCGGTACCTCTACACCGCCCGCTGCTGCGTCGCTGCGTCGCTGCGGCCTCACGTCCTGGAGCTGGCATCCAGGTCAGCTCCACACGCCTGAAACCACAAACTCTGACGTGTTCAGTTGAGATTCTGCGTGATAGTCAGTGATTTGTATTTGTTTAGTGGAAGGAAAATCAAAAATGGTTTACAAAGAGAAATCCAAAAGTGTAATGTCTATTTGAATTCACTATTCATACATATGATGATGAAATCCAGAGCAACCAGGTGTCGGCTGAATAAATATGGAGTCCAGCTGCTTTTTCCTGTTTTCAAAGTTAGCAATGGTCAATTGTAGGTGACAAGAAGAAGGAGCTCTGGTCTTGACCAATGTGCAAAAAGACTGTATTCTAAATCTTCAGATTTAATAGAAATATTTAAATTAAACCATATTCCTGTTTCACATCGGCCTATTCCAAGGGTCTACGACTTCTGAAATCCAAAGAGCCTTTCACCCCGCCCCCAATCAGTCCACCTAAGTAGAACTTGTTTAGAGCCACAAATGTCTCTGTTGATAAAATGACAAAATCATTTCTAATTTATAATTTAGGAAATTTGTCATATTACATTTTATTTCCATTTTTAGGGCTTAAAGTAAAGAAAAACAAAACTTTTGCAAAAAGAGGATGCATACGGTTTCTTCTATGGAATGTTGATACATGGGGAAAATTCAGGAAAAAAAAAGAAAAGAAGCAATATCATTGATACTTTTGGCGTCTGCTGAAACCAGTCTATGTTTATTTACTTCTAAAACATCAGTTGGTTCGTTAGTTTTTCTTCAGCCGTAGTTAAGAGCCACTTACAGCTCCAGAGCCTCAGGTTGTAGAGCCCCAGTCAAAGTTTAAACAATTTAAGTTTGAGTCGCGTTTACGCTCAACGTCTGTGTCTCCAGGTTTGACCTGCAGGAGCTGGAGCGGCTGTGTCATTTCCAACCGGAGAACATGGCGGCGGCGGGAGACGACGGGCTCGACGTAAACCAGGAAGAAAACGTCAACAACCAAACGGACTGGGCCTTCGTGGAGCTCCTTCGATCCATGTGGAACGAGGAAGACTCGGATGGAGGCGGACGGTCGGAGGAGGATCGTCCAGAGGACGAGGTCGCCGCGGGCGACGGAGAAATCGGCGAGGAGCGAGTGAATGAGGAGGAGCTGGAGGAGATTTATGAGTTTGCCGCCACGCAGAGGCAGAGGGTGAAGGAGGAAGAGGAGGAGAAAGATGCGGAACCGGAACCCGGCTCGGACCGCAGCTACAGTCGGCTTTTCTCCCAGTCCTGGGGCGGAGAGGCTTCATCCTCGCCTCCTCTTCTTCCTCATGAAGCGGCACCCAAACACTCTTGCAGGACTCTGCTTCAGTCGTCTGCAAGCATCGCCGACGAACCCTCCCTCAACCTTCCCGTCCCCGGGCCGTCTCCGGGGCGACCGGCTCCGGAGGACCGACACGGGCGAGGCGAAGAAGCCACAGCAGAGATCCGAGGTCGTCGCAGCGCCACCCCTTCGCCTGCGAGGAGAGACGAGGCCGAGCTCATCGTTCTGTCCGACTCCAGCGAAGAGGCGGAAGCCGATCGGAGCTTCACAGGGATCAAACCCGGCCAGAACCCGAGTCCCACAGAATCGGTCTGTGGCTCCCAGTTCTGTCCCGGCGATCCCGCCGGGTGTTCGCCAGAGCTTTCCTGGCTCGTCCCTTCCACGCCCGTCAGGTCTCCGGTCGGAAGCACGAGGACCGCCTCCGTGCAGACCGACAGCAGCATGTGCAGGACGCGGCTTTTCCCCAGAATGGACCCGTCCCACACCTTCTCGCCGTCCAGGAACCCCATCCCGACCTCCAGCACTCCTCTTAAAGCCTCCGCAGAACGCCAAGTTTCCCCAGACAAACGGAGGAGCACTGAAGCGTTTGGAGCAAACCGCTCCTTTAGAGATTCCTCAAAGCACGAGGCTCCTCTGCAGCCACGCAGCATCAGCAGCACGTCGGGTCAAATGAAAGCGAGGACACACATGTCCAACCCTTCAGGTCAGTCCTCGTCTTCTTCTCCTGTGGAGTCCGGCGTGCAGCCTGGCGTCAGCGACACGAACGAAGTAACGTCTGTCCCAGATGTGAGGGACTCTAGTTTCCAGCAAAGTTTCATGGATGAGCCTCCGATAGCTTTTAACGATTCCTGGGGCCTGGACGCCTGCGCCGACGGCGACCCGGGCGGCTTCAGCCTGAAGCTGGACGACACCCGAGAGTCCAGCTCCGGAGGGAGACCCGAAGCGTCCAGACCGACAGCTGCAAGCAGCGTCCAGAACCCTGCTGCAGGTCCAGGCCCGCTGACCACGCCAGAGGTCCACAACGACCTGCTGGACTCCAAAATATGGGGCAGCTGGGAGGGCGATGGAGGAGCAGGAGAGGAGGAAGACGAGGAGGAGGAGGAGGGTCTTCCTCTGTCTCAGAGAGCGAACCCGGCGGCTCTGCTCCAAACTCCAAGTAGGTGTTAAAATGTTTTAATCACTAAAAGTTCACGTAACATGTTTATTCAAACTACGGCGATCTTAAGAAATTCAAAGATCTTCAATAACTTTATTTCAGAGAAAACTATTTAATGCTGCGTCAAGTAACTTTTACAAAAAAAAACGTTTTTCATATTTGAAACTGCAAAGTCAAATTTGCCGTTTTTTTTTTTTTAAATAAAAGTTACCGACTGCAGCTTTAAAAATCATTAAAAAGATTTTGTTGATGCAGACATGTTGCTGTGACAACACAGACATGTCGACTTGAAACGGGAGTTGGTGGCTGATGCCCCCTAACAGAAGGGAGTCGCTTTTTTTAGTGGAAAGTTGAGTGGAAGCAAAACGTACTAGAAAAAAAAAACTGAAATAAAGCTTTGAGAGGTTTGTGAGGTAAAGTTTCTAAGTTAGATATTCTAAAAAAAAATCAAATTTAGTTTTTATTAACTCTGAGCCATAAAAGTGAATCACATTATGCATAAGGAATATAATTTGCAAGTTTTGAAGTCAGTTACTGAAATTAATTGAGCGCTTGTTTTTTAGCTGTAGCTGTATTTCTGATAGTTTGTCTTGGAGAGACTAACAGGCCCACAGCATCACTGATCCTCTGCCGTACTCACAACATGAAAACCCTCTTTGCTCATGAACCGTTGCTGTGTCAGAATCGTGGAAGCAGACCCGGCGGCGCCCCCCGGTGGCCATCACCCCCATGCCTCACTACTCTGACATGGACACGCCGGAGCTCAAGAACAAACTCAGCAGGTCAGTCGGTTCATCCTCACTTCCTTCATCATCATCTTCACCCTGAGCAAAGTTTACACAAAGGTCAAGTTGGTTTTTCTTTTTTTTTCTTTTTTTTTCCCTTTCTTCCTCTCAATCCCAACCAAGGTGATTAAGTGATGAACCAATCAGATTACTCTCGGCTAAGTCGATCTCAGGCTGCTTCTTTTTTTTCTCTCTCTCTCTCTCTCCTTTCTCTCCCGTCCATCTGTTCGCCTTTGACGTTCCCCCGTCATGCAGCTTCGGCGTGCGGCCTTTACCGAAGCGTCAGATGGTCCTCAAGCTGAAGGAGATCCACCAGTACACCCACCAGCTGACCAGCTCCGAGGAAGAGGAGGAGGAGGAAGGAGAAGAGGCGCCCCTGGGCAGGGCGGTGTCCTGCGCAAGGTTTAAAGAGCCGACGGCGCCCGCTGCTGCCGCGTCCCCCGTCAAAACGAACCAAGAGGAAGCCGGCGATCCGCTCTCTGCCTCCCAGGGCTCAAACGCCTCGTCCACCGCCGCCAGCGACGAGTCGGAAAGGTGTGTGGAGCGATCAGAGTCTGTCTCTACAAACTAAAACACACGTGCAGTGGAGAAGTGTTCAGACCCCAGAGGGCTGTTTATCAATGTATATAGTAACTAGTTACATGTATGCAGCTACATTTACTGGAGTAACTTGAAAACATTTTTACTTTTATAAGTATTTATGCTATGCTGTACTTTTTACTTTTTGTTAGTATGGCTTGAATAAAATTCCTGAGTAACTTCACTGAATGAAGAACAAGCTTGTTTTAACCAAGACACACAGCTGCAGTTTTTAAACTGAGTTTTATATTGAAAGAAATTGATTTGGAAAAATGCTTATTTTGCCTGATGTTGTAATTAAGTTATTTACATGAATTATTTTCATTTTTTTTTTTTTAAATGGCAACATTTTCACATAATTTTATATTTTGGTCTGCCTGATAATGCAGTTTTCAAATATTAACTGATTAATGTTTTGATCAGTTACTCAGTACTTCTGTAGCCTTTTTACCAAATACTTTTTTTACGTGAGTAAAATATGTGGAAGTAGTGCTTCTCTTAGTTAAATACGATTTTCGGGAACTTTACCCACCTATGTCAAATATATAACTTTCCAACTGCAAAATATATTTCATTTGGGATTTTTTACAAACGCAAAGCAGCGTTTAATTGTACAAGTGGAAGAGAAATGATGGCTGGTTTTCTTCAGGTCCAACCCTGAGCTGGTTCTCTCCTCCGACGGCGACTCGGACAGCGACGTGTCGTCCTCTCAGGCCGCCTCGCGCCTCCAGGACCGCCTCCAGGCGGTGCGCTCCTTCATCCTGTCCGACTCCGACCTGTACGGTCGGATCCTCCAGTACCAGCCTCTGGTTCTCTCCCAGCTCCAGCAGCAGCTGAAGGCGGCGGGGATCCGCCTGGGCGCCGCCAAGCTGGTGGACTACCTGGACTCGCAGTGCATCACCTTCACCACGGCCAAGCCGGGCCACCACGCGGCCGGCCGCAGGCGGGGGGCGTGGACGGGCCGGGGGGCGAGGGGAGGCGGCAGGAAGAACGGAGCTTTAAAACGTTAGCAGAGAATTTTGATGTAGAAAATGTGAAAAAAATAATTGTCTGGTTAAAACTTGTTTTAAATTCTGAGGCGTTTACACCAATTTAAACTTTGTAAATACTTGATTTTTTTTTTTTTTTAAATTGGTTTCAGGTTTTAGGAGTTAACTTTTCATATGTTGCATTGTATTGTTAAAAATAAATCAGAAGTGTTTGTTATATCGTGCGCAGGATGTGATGGTTATAAATGTTTAACATCCAAAGACCAGCATTAGGTTGATGGGATTCGGGACGTCGCGTGGTGCAGCGCGACCCGGAAACAGAGGCTCAACTCCGGTCCGCAGTTCCTTGTTGTCGCCCGTCTCTGTGTCCTTCCTGTCCAATTAATATCAAGTAAAAACCACTAGTGCTGAAAAGATATCTACCGTATTTTCTGGACTCTCTATAAGTCGCATCTACAAAGTGTTTTTTTTTAAAACTGGAAACGTACATATATAAGCCGCTCTCGGTTTTTCATAAATCTGGATTTATTACTGATGCAGCCCTGCGTCTCCAATGCCGAACGATGGATGCGTTCATGCCGAGCTTACTTATTTTGACTTCCAATAATTCACTTCCTGTTAAAGAGCCCCCCCTGGTGGTTGAAGAAAAATCCACAGAAAAGCCGCACCAGGCTACAAGCTGCGTGGCTCAAAGTGTGAGAGAAAAGTAGCAGCTTATAGTCCGAAAAATACGGTATTTACATTTCTAAAGAAACCACACCACACAAAAAGTTTTGAAAATGTTTTTTTTTTTCCTTTACTTTCTCAAGCTTTAACATCCAAACACCCAAAACGTACCCAGAGCTGTGCGTGTCTAATTAAAGACGAGAAAAATCCCACAGCTTCTCATACATTGTTCAAGTAGAGAGAGGTGTCCTTTAATGCAGCACAACATGAGGTCAGTTCTGTCAAGAGTCCACATTCAGGTCGCCGCTGCTCCGCTCAGGGACTGGAGGGGACGAGTTTATATTGCACACCCAGATTTCTCTACAGCAGCGTAAAGCTGGGGCTTTAAAATCAGATTCCGAAAAATACACACAGCACCGCGGCCCCCCGGGAGAAGGGCTCGTCTCCGGTCACCTCGCGGTCGGTGCCGGTGCGGGCTTGCTTCGTTTTCGGTGGACGCTCTCGTACGGTTACGACAGGTTGGCGATGTTGGCGAGGAAGCGCTGAGCCCACCACTCCTCCAGGTCTATAGGCACAAAGTCTGGGCAGAGGAGGAGAGAAAAAGGAGAATCAGCTTCTGGTCAAGAGTTTGTCGTGTGGCTCAGACTGGAGGTCAGTTTAAAAAAAAATTTTTTTTAAACGTGTTTCAGTGGATGCACCACGCTTCAAACAGAAAGTGAGCAACAGATCAAGCTCAGTGTGAAGGTGGTTAATCCAGAAAGAAATTACTGGTAGCCATTTGAAATGTTGATAAAATGTTTCAAAAGTTTAACCAGAATTTTCTAAATCTTTCTTCCTCCTTTCTTTCTTTTCTACATTCAATTCTCCCTCCTTCCTTATTTTTTTTTCTTCATTTCTCTGATTTTTCTCCTTTAATTTCTTACATTTCCTCTTCCCTCTTTTCAATCTTCTCCATTTCACTTTTTCTTGCTTATTTGAACTTCAACTAAGTATTCTCAACCTAATCAGAGGAGATGAACGGTATGGAGTCTCAGTTTGGGTTTCCTGTCTTTATAGGTCAAAGATGATCAAATGGCATCTATTAATTTTAAATAATAAATGATTGGATTATTACTTAAGTTCTACGCTCACCATGAAGCTTTTCTTGTTTTTTTCATGTATCATTTCAGCACAGTCTTTGGGACGTTTAAGACTTAGATTATAGCGATTTTTAGGAGAGGAAAAAAAAAACATGAGCAACAATACAGGAAATAAACTAAAAGGCTTAAAAATTAGTCTGTATACAAAGCAAATGGAAGTCAATATCTGTTTTCAGTTATATAAGAGTGCTGGCTACTTAAGTTAAAAATAATCCATCAGAATTGTTGCAACTACAAACTGGAGCCGGTTTATCTGGAACAGCCAGATCCTCTCAAACTGAACGGCAAGACGCCGTTTTAAAAGCCGGCCTCAGGCTGCGTATGGAGGGAAGACAGAAAAAAACCCCCCACAGACACAGTGGCATTTGAGTCAACCGGGGTGATAACAGCAGCGCTTCCGAAATCAAGCCAATAAATCAACACCAGGTGAGATTACTGGTTCAAAGTTCTGCAGGGCACCGAGCGGGAACAGAGCCGCCCGACACAAATCAGACGGGAGATCAGCTTTATGAGGACGGCTGTGCTTTGTGCTGCGTGAGCTGCAGAAGTGGAGGTAACTCACTCTTCATCACAGTGCCGGGGGTCTTCTCTGCGTACTGAACCGGCCCCTTGCTGTCAGCTGACTCCCCTCGGTCTTCCAGCTTCTGCTCCACTTCCTGCCATACTGCACACAGTCAGACACACACACAGGACGTCAGACACTGAGACCAAGACACACACACACACACAGCTGGACTTCTTAATGCAACCGATTACAATGGATTTGATTTTTATCTGCAAAATAAATTCCTTCCAGTTCACAATTTGGGCGCTACTTTAAAATCAGCGTAAAAATACATTCAAATTTGGGCTGATTAATCCGATTAATTGAGATTAGCTGATTGAAATAATCGTCAACTAATTTAGAAATTGATGATACTGGAGAACATACTTAGAGCAATAATTAATCCAAACCTGTACGAAAAATATTTACATTAAAGATTAAAAATAGCTTGACTGCTAATATGTTTTACCCAAAACTCCTCAAGTGGTAAAGACTTGGCATCTCTTGGTTTAAATTCAGTAAAAACAAAAACATCTATTAAGCACCTATTGCTGTTCAACTACTAAAAGTAATCCAAAAAATATGCATATAAACGACTTGAATGAAAAAACAGCAGAATGTGCTAATTTTCCTTGTCCGATTAATCAATTAATCATCAGACTAATCAATAGAATAAATCCCTGAGTAAATCAATCATTTGTTGCAGCCCTAATTGAAATAATTTGACAAAATGGAACAAAAGGTCTCAGTGTTTTGCATCTTTAATCAACTTGTTACTTCTCAGGCTGCCGTATCTGAAATCCAAATCCCAGTGACATTAATGCAGGAAAGCTGGTTTAAGGGACTGGTTTTTATTTCTTCTTTTAGATCCAGCAACGACGAAGAGCTGAAGTTTGCGGCAACAAACAACCAGCAGAGTCACATCTTTCCTGGCGAAAGCCCAAAGGAAACAGAAAGTTGCTGATTTACACAAACCCAGCCGTCCGAGCTGTTATTTTCCCACCGAGGGACGCCGAGTCCGCGCTGACCCACATTAAAGTAACTCGAAGCGACCTTCGATTTCTGAAGCGCCGTTGGGAAAAATGGTGCTTAATTACTGTAGACGGGACACATCGAAATTAACTTGAGAACCTGTTCTGGGTTAGATTTAATTACGCCATCTGTTTAACGAGAAATCATAACATGGCGTCACAGTGAGAAGAGCAGAGCTCCTCTGGGGTATTTTTTTCTGAATGGGAATACAAATTTGCCAAAGTCCCTCATATGTGGAAGAAAATTCAAGAAAAAGAGGCCTTTGCCTTGAACGTGCTTTTGACATACATGTCAGTGACTTTGTTTCTGTTCTGCATGATACATCTCTCTCTGTGAGATCTTTTGTTTTGCTTTGTGAATTTTTTTTAAAACATTTTTTTTTTATTATTCTACGGGTCAGGTATCAATTTAAACATGGATTCATGTTTAAATAAAACGTCACTTTCTTAACCTGAGGTCAGGTGGATGTACGGACAGCCCATGTCTCATTTTTACACGATATCAAATTTGAAATGCTTAAAAACAGACGATATCCGCTCCCACGGAATCGCAAGTTCGCATCAAAACCCGCCCTGCTTCCGATCTTCTCGACCTCCGACTCTCACACACTTTGCGCAACAAGATCAACGTCGGCTTCGGGATCAGATCGGGACGTCTGACCCCGCGCGCGCCCCACTGATCCGGTGATCCTTACCTTCGTAGACGAATCTGACGTTCTCCTCGTGCGCCGGTGTGAATCCCTCTGCGGCCGGGCTCTGGTTCTTCTGCGTGGCCGTCCCGTTGTGGCGCTTCCCGTTGAGCCGATTGAAGACGATCTTCGGAGGCGGAGAGCTGCGGGGAGGACGGCGCGCCGATCGTTAGAGAAGCCATATTTGTTGAGGCAAGTTAAGTGAATTGAGGCTGAGCTTTTAACCCACTGGGAGCAAACAGCAGCTGGGAAACCGAGGTAAAACATGAGGTTCACAACAGAACCTTGTTTAGGCTGTATAAGAAGGCTCATGCATTCATTTTATGAAAGTTAGTCTTAAATCGTCTCTATTTTTAATGCCATGGAGCAAATGTTGAACTTGTCTTGATCAATGGTTCTCCAATTTTTCAGGGTTTTTTTTTTTATTGACTAGCAGTAGCCCATGTTCGACTGCTGGTCAAGGATATAATGGAAAATTACAACAAGTTTAGTTTCGGTTGGAAGCCTAAATAGATTCCTTCTTATTATAAGAAAATAATCAGGCCAAATATAAGTTTGTGTCCAACAGAAAAACAAAAACAGGTTGTATCTAAATTTCACATTTAAAAACAAATCACTATATCTGATCATAAAATCCAAAAAAGAAGCATAAATTATTAGAAATATTCTGTGTTAATTTGTGTGGTGTAAAGCCCATTTCTGCCACTCGTATCAGTCATTATTATGAGAAAGTATAACAAGATTATGAGAAATACCAATTTTTCCTGATATGCAGCCATCTTTGCTGAATAATAATAATAATAATAACAATAATAAAAAAATCAGAACTTGGACATTTTTTATGAAAGCCCATCCCCCCCAAAAAAATAAACAACAACCCCAAAACAAAACAAAACATTATTATTCATTATTATTGAGTCGCGGAAAATGACTAGCATATGAAAGGGCTCCAGAAGATGTGGGTTTACAGGTAGAACCTGATTTTACAACCGATCATGAACGCCCCATAGAAACAACGTTATAACACGTCGAAATGTGACTCTAAAGTAAACGTAGACAAAGGTTTGACCTGAGAGAGTCTCTAAGGGGGAGAGCGGGTCTAAAAGGAAAATAAAAAACAGAAACGTCCGATAATGGAGGCAGGCCACGTCGAGGCGTTACATGATCGCACTGCTAGTCCACGTGGGAAGAAGTATTTTGGGCCCACGCGGCTGCCAGCGCGAATCGCGTAAACAAAACTCCATAATTACAGGTGCGGTAATAGAATAAAGACGGAGTGTACTCACTTTGAGGTGAGCCAAGAGGTGGGCTTTAGCTTCAAGTCGCTGAACTTGCTCTCGACCTGCTGGGTGGGACCTGAGGTGAAATCCAACTGTTTAACCTTGTGCAGTTAAAAAAAAAAAAAAAAACTCAAACGAGCAAACTTTCCTCCGTGAAGCTTCATTAGATAACCCGCCCCGCCTCTCACTCACCTGTCCTCCTTTGTGTAACAAGTTTGCTGGGACCCCTGGTGATTGTGTACATCATGTGATGTCAGGACGCAGTAATAAGCCCTTCAAGTGTGTGCCTCTTCCCCGGTGACCACCTTTAAACTCTTCACCGTAAACTTCCAGCTCGCTCCCCGTGACGCAGCGCGTCCTGCTTTGCGGCTTGTCGCCCGGGGTCAGCCGCTCTGAGGTCGGCCAGAAGCCTGCATGGGACTCGCTCTGTTTGGCTCCGTCAGCTGCTGTGTTTTATAGCAGTGCGCTCCGAACCGGCTGCTGTCCTCCGGGTGCCAATGGGACCACTGCGTGTTCTTTAGGGTACTGTGTAGGTCATTCAAGGAGAACCCGGGTCCAGGGTGCCGGGGACCGTGCACAGGAGGAGGGATGAACGCTTCCTGACGCCTGAGGACTGTGACTCTCTGAGCCGGACACTGTATCTGCTGAACACCGCTGCAGCTCCGAAGATGACTGCAATACGCCCGCTCCTCTGACAGATTACAAGGGCGAAGCGCACTTTACTTTCATAAGGACTAGGAACTATCACGCTCGTACTTTGTGAAGCTACTCATTGAAAATTCTAAAGCTTCCGGTGGCGAACTTCAAAATAAAACCCTTACGCTACCAGTAAAGGTTGCATCATCAAAAGGTACATCGTTAATCCACTCATTTAGAGGACAGACTAGACATTTTTGGAGTCCCCTAGGGGTCAGTATTTGGATCAGTATTGTTTATTAAACACTGAAATTGCTTACGAGACACTTTATAGCCTTTTTATCAACTTTATTTCATCATCATATCTAAAAAAAAAAAAACAATTGAAACAACAAGCAACGTAAAACATCGAAATATGTTATTTGAAATGTAGATCTTTTTCTCTTTAAACAGTATCTGATCAAATATTGAGGTAAAAGTATGTAATTAATTAAATAAAATCAGTGTTAAACAAATGATGCATGTATAGTGAATTGTTTAAATATATTATTTTAGTACAGATTTATCTTTTTTACTGGAACATTGTGCAATAAAACCCCCCAGAAATTGATGTTTTAGATGCATTGTTTTACTGTTTGAGGTTGCAACACGGTTTTGTTAGTGAATTATTAAAGCGCTCTGTAAAATATATTTTAAACAAGTTTAAAAGAAACACTTGTTTTAAGATTACCCTTAATAACATAAAACATTTTCCACTATGCCTTTCGGTTGTTGTCATGCTGGCGAATATAGCGTAGGCTTTTATTTTGAAGTTGAAAACCCTTGGTTTCCGCTAGCCTTGTTTCTCTTTAATCTACGTAGGCGGAACCAAGTGTTCACCTTTCACCTAATAAACCACTACAAGCAGAGACCAAATGTTTTCCAGTCCGCGTGGTTGTTAATTAACAAAGTTTCACTACACAGTGGCTCAGCATTTCGTGATTATTTAACAAATGCTCTCCGGTTTCCATGGATACTTAGCTCTACGGTGGCTTAATTGTTTCTAGCGGGATCCGTTAATAGCATCACTCTGGGATCTAAGGGCCGTAAAGCACAGGTAGCAGCTGGTGTTCCGGTGAACAAAACCACCTGAGTGTCAGCCGACCGTCTGCGTTTAGCTCCTGGAGATCAGCGGAGACGAGAAGCGGCTCAGACAGGCTTATCTGCGGTGATATCCAATACTACTCAGTCACCCTCCGCCTCCCCCCATTCATCCACACTATCTGGGTCAGACAGCAGCGAGTTAATCATCCACAATGCTACAGGGTTAACAGTGAAGTCAGAAAACTTTTGCTAGATGAATAAATGACACCTCCTTAAACTAAACTGAACAAACAAAATAAATAAATCACATGAGAACTCAAAAGACTTAAACACATTTAAAATCCCTTCATTTCTGCTAGCTGTTCACCAAAAACCACCTAGCTTTGGCATCTAAAAATTAATAAAAAGCTGGATATTAATGTTGCAGCTCCCATTGTCTGGTATTTGCATGCAGATTTGGTCAAGAAGAGCTTATGTGACCCAAGTGAGCAAAGTTACTTTAATTTGCAACAGGCTTTAGCTTATATTTAGCCCAACCAAGTCAGAAAGTCTTCTTTGCTCAGATCGGATGGATAGTGTTAACACCAATGGACTTTGACTAGGACATTCTAACATAAATTTGGCTTTAGTCTTAAACCATCACAGCTCTGGATTGCCCTGCTAGAAGGTGGAATTTGTCCCATCCTCCCCCCGGTCTCCAGTTAAAGTTTTCCTACATTTCTCCACATGGACCAACTTCTCTTTTTCCACTGAAGAAAATAAGTCCCCACAGAACAATGCTGCTATTGCCATGTTTCACAATGTGGTTGATGTACAAACAGTGTTAGTTTTCCGATACACATGGTGTTGTAGGTGTAGCCCAAGGGGTTTTATACATTCTCGCTAGCCGACCTTCGACAACCTCTTCCATATGTTAACTTATTTCTACAACGGCCTTCCTTGTTGGGTCATGAACTGGAGCTTAGGATATTGTTTTCTGCCCGCTGTGTTCTTTGTGATGCCGTTTGTTTGATAACGGCACTCCGAGGTCATCACAGAACAGCTTTATTTACACGGAGATAAAAATGAAAAAGCAAAATCTCTCCCAAGATTTCATTTTCTGTTTCAATTGGGAGCCTCTATCCAATAAAATACATTAAAGTTTGAGGTTGTGACATGAACAAATTAGTTATTTGGGGGGGCGGGGGGGGGAGAGGGAGAATGAAGAATCAGCATTCAGCAGCTATGCACCACTAATCTGGGACAAACTTCCAGAAAACTGCAAAGACGCTGAAACACTGAATTTCTTTTAAATGAAGGCTAAAAAAAACTCAGCGGTTTAGAGTGAAACATTGATCAACATATTTGAGTTGATTGATGATGGTATGTGACAATAGGTAATAATTGGTAAATACATTATGTTTTTATGATCTAAAACCCTTTGAGCTGCCTTGTTGCTGAAATGTGTTACACAAACTGGACTTTAATCATTTTACAAAGTAACATCTGTACTATTCCATGTTCTTTAGAGGGTTTTGCCTTTTTACTGCAGACGAATTGTCTTCCTTCTTGTAGAGGAACTGCTGGATTGCTTGACAATCAGATCAACCGAGATGCTACAAAATGTAAAAACCTGATCCAACGTGAATCCGTTTCTGCTCCGAAAACTCCTTCCACACATAAACACAGACATATTCCACCATAAGAACCCAAACATTGTTATATTTTAGGACAATGAAATAGGCATTCCACTTTATGACCGCTTACAATCACTTTCTGTACAGAGTGTAAAAGATGTGAGGTTAGTAAAACACAAGCAGAAATATAATCACGTGCCCTGAAATACTCAAGTATACATTATCAGTTACAGCTGCATTCTACAAAGACGTCTCACTTATTGTGATTTCGTTCATCACACGCGTAATTGGCGCGGCTCGTTATTTGCTTCTTTTCAGTTTACTCAGTCTGCAGAGAGAGACCAGTTGCCTGCTTACATATTTGTACAATACCACGGTTTACTAAAACACTAAAAACACATTTGTTTGATAGTTTCTTATTCTTTAAATGGACATTTCTGGACTTAACAGAAATAATCTGCAATATATATATATATATATATATATATATATATAAACAGCTAATAAAAGATTGAGAGCAGTTTAGAAATAAGTAGGAATAAATATCTTAATGCATCTATTATATTTCATTTTATGTTTCTCTAAGTAGGTCTACCATAAAAGCAGTTTTACCAAAGTAAACCCAATTGAACCAAAAGTACCTTTTTTCCCCCTTTACCCATAATGTAACTATGTGATCATTTGTGTGTAATTTAATAATTAACAAAGACAAACTGTAAAACTCACATAAGAACAAGGATGGCCGGATGTTTTAAAAACAGTTTCCAAAGATATCTGTTACCTTAGAGATTTTAACTCCACACAAACTTTTTGTTTTTTTCAACATTTCTAAATTTTTTCTGCTTATGCACTTACTTTCTTGCTTCCAGATTTGGTTATTTATTGTCATAAATCACAGTATTTCAGTGCCACTCCCACTATTCTGAATAAATGGAGATAAATTACTTTGACCAAAAAAAAAAAAAAAAAAATTTATGCCTGCTTAAAATCAAAAGTTTTTCCAAACATGAGCGTAGAGGAAGACTGATCTGCATTAAACCAGCGCATTGACTCTCAGTCATTTTTCATATTCATAAACAAGACATATTATAGGTAGTTTATCACACGCTCCCTTTTCGTGTGGAAGGACAAACGTCACAGGCATCAACAACAAGCAAAATAAAAACAGGAAACAAACAAACAACTTATTAAAATCCTGAGTACAGAAGTCTTTCTGTGGAAAAGTCTTAATTTGTCATGTTTCCCCCCTCCATTTTGTTTCAAATGGAAGTTCTCTTATGGTTCTTTAATCTTTTGGACATTGGTTGTTTTCTTCATGGTACATTTTAGTCAGATTAAAATTATGTCAAAAAGGTGAATATTTACTTAACAAAGACTGAAAATGCAGGATTGTCCTGTATTCGATTCAATACAGGACACCAACTCTGACCAGAAAACCAATGAAGCTGCCACCACCAGGTTCTTGCAGTGGGGATTGTTTGCGACTTTTTTATTCTGTTCCTGCTCATTGTTCTTTGTGAAAGAGCTCAAACCAGAGTGGTACTGAGTACGTGTTCATATGTACTCTGCTAAAATTCAAAGGTTCTTTTAAAAGTCAACGTTTGCAGACACAAAACTGTTTTATTCCTTAAGTTAAGAGCTTTTCACGGTGGATTTGCACTTTAAGTGGCCAAATCAATAAATTCAAAGGATTCTTTAAAAAAACCGTCAAACTAAACTAAATATTAGTTTAATGCTAGCAGCCGTTGTCCAAAGATAAACTGAGGAGCCCAGAAAACCCTGTAAAGACTTTTGCACAGACAGTCTGACACGAGTCTGTTTAAGACAAAGAGCACAAGGACACTGTCTGAAAATCTCTGTATGCACCACATGTGCAACTGAATTGATCATATTTATAAAGTGTCTAAAAGGAAACACAAAACCTGATACATGACCTCTTATTACGAAGTTAGAAACAAAGTTTAAAAAGTTTGAAAATCGACAGATAAAACTCAGCTTAAGTTTACAGAACTGGAACATGTGATTTATCCGACCCTCTTCACAACAGATTGGGATAGCCCTGTAATCTTCAAAGCTATTTAAATTTTGCTAGATTGTAGCAAATTTGGGGGGAGGGAGAAAAAAAAACTTGAGTGGAAAGTTGCTGCTTTTTTTATACCTTTCTGTCAGAACGGTATCACCGTTTCACAATGAAGTTTCCTTGCAATCTGAGAAAAATTTCTGTAAATACGATAGGTTTCTGCTCCTCCACCATCACATTCAACCACCGCAGCAAGCTGCATATGTGCAGCATGGAGGTGTGTGCGTTTTTCTAAAAGCAGTGGGGGAACTCTAACAAAGAAAATCACACTTGAGCTCTTGGCGCACCGCGGTAGATATTTCCGTTTAGTTTGAACGTTGTCACATGGTCCGAGTCTGGTGAGAAGAGGGCCTTATCTGTTGACACTGATAGCTGAGGAGTAATTACTTGAAACATCCTCTTTCATTTTAAGGATGTTATCTGATAACGAGACGTTGTGGGCAGCCATTGACAGTGTGTCTCAGTAATGAGGTTCACAATCTTCCACAAGGCTGTCTGTGATGTAATTGATGTGTAGCACCTCCTGGAAATAATCTTTCTCCAGTTTTGTGTTGATGGTCCAGGCTACGACTTCCACTCCCCTTCGAGTCCAGTACTGGACATAGTCCCTGCAGATAGGAAGACACGTACGAGGATGAGTT